ATGTCGGCGGAAGTGGCTGGTCAGCCTGAAGGGGTCACCCTGCTTCAGGCGATTGAAGCGGGTGACGTTCCTTACCCGCGGCGTATGCGTTACGTCGCCTGGCTCAAGAGTGGCGGAAGTCCACTGGGAGCCGACCGCTTCGTAAGCGCGATGGTGTCTACACGTCGCCTGAGGTGGAAGCGGCCCTTTGGCGCTCCGTCATGTCCTTCCTCTATGATACCGAAGAAGCGGAAGATGATGACGATGAGGAGGAAGAAGAGGAAGAGGAGGAGGTTGATCCTCTCCAGGATCCCCTCGGCGAGGAAGCCGGAGAGGGTCCAGAGCTGATCCCCGACACGGGAGATGGCTCTGCAGCTCCGAGCGGCCCGCGGACCGCTGGAGCAGTCGCGGGCGGCGCGCTCTCGGCCATGGCCACTGGGATGGTCGCGGCCATTACTGGCGCGCCTCCCTGTTCCGGCCCTGACCGACGGTCAGGCGGGACGTTCTGGTCCGCCTTCCACGGCTGGGTCAGTGCCTGGCACGGCTGAGTCCTTGCAGGCAGAACTCCGCGAGCTCTATCGGCCTGATCAGGAGCCCGTGGCGGATTACATGAACCGCATGGCGCGTATCGCTTTGGCGCTTCGGGCGCATGGCGTTTCGATCACGGCCGGTGAGCTTGCTATGCTCACCACCAAGGCTACCCTCTTGGCTGAGGAGTTTGCCCAGGTCGGTGGCGACTGGCATCCGACCAGGATGGTTAGGCGCTTGCGGGCCCGTTTCACGGTCGCGGCGCTTAAGGAGATAGGCGACGGCTCTGACGCAGCCGACGTCCAGCAGGAGATCCAAGCGATCGGCGAGCTGATCCTTGCCCTTGGCGGCAAGCAGAGCGCTAGCGCCGACAAGGTTTGGAGCTCTCCGTCTGACGTTCCTCCGGCGGCGACGCTTTCGCCGCCGCCGCCTTTGCCGCCACCGGCGTACTCGCCTGTGGATGGTAGGCCCGTCGCGGGCAGTGTCGCCAAGGCGGCGGCACCCGCGCCTAAGGCTCCCACGGCGGCGGTTTTGTCTAACGCCCCGCCCCTAACGGCCGCCTCGGCGGCCCGACAGGGCGCCGACGAGTTGGACAAGGGGGACTCTCCTTTGCGTGCCAGGCTGGCGGCACTGGAGATGGAGATCGAAGCCCTGAGGCGGGGCTCCGATGGCGGCGCGTCTGTTACAGACGGCGCCGGGCAGGTGGCTACGGACTTAGCCGCTGCCCTGAAGGAGCAGACAGAGGCCTTGAAAGAGGCTCTGACCTCCCGCGGAGGGCAGAATTCGATCACTTCTGTCAAGACGGACCTTAACTGGCCGACCTTGACGGATGACAAGAGTGATTCGAAGGATGTCGTCCTCTTCTACGAAGAGTTCGAAGACGTCTGCGGCCTGGCGAATAACTGCCGCGGCATGTCTGCGCGGGAGAAGCTCCTTGCTCTTCGAGCGCGGTGCAAGGGGTCACGCGCGAAGACGTACACGAACGCCTACAGGGCGGCCTGGAAGTCCGGAGAAGTGCTCTCGGACCCAGAGGCAGTGTACCTCCGAATTAAGAATAAACATCTTATGTTCGGAGAGTCCCGCGAAGAGCGGGAGGTCAGGGTGGACGGTGAACACGTCGCCCTGGCCAAGGGACGCTTGACAGGGCACCAATTCGAACCCCTGTTCGAAGCGTCCATTGCAGACCTGGAGTCCGTTGGACTCGGGAAGACCCCCAGAGAGCTGTATCTCAGCTACCTTCGCAAGATGCCACCGCACTTGCGGAAGGAAATCCGCTCGGATAAGCGGCTCTGGCCGGGCGACTCCAAGGAGGTTGGCCTCCGGTCGCCGGCCACCTGGGAGGAATCCCATAAGGTCGTGCTCGAGTACGAGCAGCGAGAAGCGGCGCACCGTGCGGTGGCCCACTCGACGTACTCGAGCACCCCGGGTGCGGATGTTTCCGACCCGGCCGCGGCCGCTTTGAAGCAGGCGCGGAAGGAGATCAATGATCTCAAGGCTGCGGTGAAAGCCGCGGCTAAGTCTAGCGCGGCTCCAGGGAACAGCACCCTGGCGGCCGGCGCAGGCGCCAAGGGGGGGGGCAAGGGAGTGGGCAAGATCTGCTTCCATTTCCGCGACCACGGAAATTGCCCCAAGGGTGACTCTTGCCCGTACAGCCACGACAAGGAGCTTCGGAAGCAAGCCCTGGCTGCTAAGCGGGGAGACACCACCTTGGCCACCAAGGGAGGTGGCAAGGGCCCCAAGGGCGGCGGCCCGAAGGGCGCGCCCAAGGCCAAGGCTAAGAGCAAGGCCAAGGCCAAAGCCAAGGCGGGCCCTAAGCCGCCTGGCACCGTGTGCCCCTTCTTTGCGAAGAATGGCTCTTGCAGGAAGGGTGCCAACTGCGACATGGTGCATACCTTGCTCACAGGGCAAAGGCAGCAGGGAGGTCAGGCCCAAGGGGGCCTTGCCGGCTAACTGGGGGCCGCCTTCTGGCGCCTCCATGAGCAATCCCTTTGCTGCCTTTAGCATCCAGATCGGGAGCATGGGCGGGTCCCAGCTCCCCGGACCTGGAGTGGCGGTGCCTGTGCACGCCCTGAGCAAGGGAGACAAGGGTCGGTTCGCTGCCCTGGACGACCTGCCAGGCGACTGGTGGTCGCTGGCGGACAACGAACCTGGCGGTTACCAGTACCGCACGGTGGTTCAGGTGTTGGGCAAGCGCGTCGAGTGCATGCTCGACGGGCGCGCTGGCGCCAACCATGTCACCGAGGAGCTCTTGGTTGGCATGCTGAACCGTGCAGCCGAGCTCGGTATTGGCACCGAAGACCCCCGATTTCCGGTAGTGCGACTCGAGAAGTGGGTGCACCCGGAATTCGTGCACGGAATTGCTTCCGGAGCGCCAGTCCCCCTCAAGGGCGCGGCAGTTTTGCGCGTTACTCTGTTGGAGGGCAAGACGGCCGAGGCGTCGCGGCCTGGCCCCGAGATATTCGTGCGTTGCAAGATCGCCGCCCGCGGGTCGAGCGATTGGCACGGGCTTATCCTCGGCGGCAGGGCCTTGGACTGCGCCAGCCGGATGGGCTTGGGGTTCCGACCCGGGCCGGAGCACCACATCTTGGATACGCTTAGTATCAAGATTCCCCGGTGCGAAGACTTCACCCGTGTCCGAAAGGACAGGGCGTACGCCTTCGAGGCTCGCCTGTCCTGTCTGGAGGGTGAGGGGTGTTTCGAGCCTGGCGGCTCGGACAGGGACCTCCTTCGCTACGCTGGCGCGGAGGCTCTCGACCTCACGCCTGGCGATGGCGTGCTGGTTCCGGTGGACCGCGAGGTCCCGGTCGCACAGGACGGTACCCTGTGCGAGGCCGTCTTCCCGGTCGACTGCGGAGTTGAGGCAGTCCCAGGGGTCTGGGCCACGGGCGCAAAGGAGGGCTTCGTCCTCCTCGCCGCCCAGGACGCTGACTGGACCCTGGAGCCCGGCGACGTAGTCGCGGAGGTTCGGGCAGGCCTCGTCGAGACCGCTGCCTGCGGTTGCGGGGCTGTCGAGACGGTTTTTGCCTCGGGAGGCTCTGGCGGAAGCTGCGAGTCGTGCGGCGTCGCCGAGTTCCCGGAGGTTCCGGAAGAGTGCTTCTCCTGCGGGGCCGCTGACCGACCCGCGGTGAGGAGCTACCAGGGGTGCACGTCCTGTTCCCGGTCTAGGGGGCGCCTTAGCGCCAGGACCAGGATCGGCGTGTTCGCCCTCTTGACGGCAGCGTCGACGTTCCTGGGCGGCGGCTCTTTCGAGCGCCCCGTCGAGGATCCGACGGTCGTTACTTACTTGGGTAACGTGCCCAGTGAGAACACCTGGTGGGAGGCCCCTGGAGGCTCCGCCTCGGTGTGGGGGCGCAGGCCCAAGCTCGACGACACAGGACCTGCCGTCGAGGAGCAGCCGTTTGAGACGTGCTTGCTCCAGAAGACCGGTGAAGCGTGGCGTCTGTGGGACACGCGCGACCTCCGCACGTCGCCGAGCGCGGCGCTGAGCGACGAGGTCCCGGTCACGGAACGGCTCGCGGTCTTCAGGACGCGAGCTGGGCCTAAGTGGGCTGGCTGGCTGCCCGGCTCTGCAACGAGCGAGCGCCGGGGTTCGCTCGCGGCCCGTGAGTCGGGCGCGGCGAACACTTCCTCCCATCCCAGCTATCACATCGTTGAGAGCTGGGATATTGAGAAGATGATGGAGGAGCCGCCCACAGACTACTACTACGACTGCCTGCGGGCGGATCTTCAGGATCGCCACCCGAAGGCAGACTCCCACTTGCTGGACCATTTGGTCAGCCTGGAGTCGTTTCTGGACAAGTCGATATTGTTCGGCTTCTCTTTTGGCATCAGCAAGGCGGAGGTGTGTGTCTCGGAGGGGAAACTCCTCGGGCACCGCATCGGGCGGAGCGGAAGCTCGCCCGATGAAGAGAGGTGTCAGGCAGTCGTTGACTTCCCACCTCTCAAAGAGAAACTGCACATACAGCAGTTCTTGGGGTGTGCCAACTGGCTGCGGGGCTAGCTGCCCGCGGAGTATGGGCACGCCGCTAAGATTTTAGGCCAGTGGCAGAAGCCTGGCTCCGAGTTTCCGGAGGGCGGCCTAGGCTCTGGCGCCACTCCAGGCTGCAAGGCCTTCAAGGCGATCAAGCAGATGATGCAGAAGCATATCTGCTTGGCCTCTTTCGATGAGGCGGCGGCGGCCGATGGGTCGTGCCCCTTAGAGCAGATCGCGGATGCTTCGGGCATCGCGGTGGGCGGTAGCGTGGTCCAGATGACGCGCGACCTGAGCCGGCTGAAGGTCTTGATGACCCACAGCAAGTCGCTCACGCCGGCGCAACAGAATTGGCCGCCGCTCATCCAAGAGGCGTTCGCCCAGCTCGAGGTCAAGCGGGCTACCAGGAAGACCTTCGGGTCTATCCGGACGGTTTGCTGGACGGACCACGCCAACCTCACTCGGGCCCAGACCAGCGACATTGGTCTGGACCCCAAGCTTGTGAGGTGGGTGGCGGAGATCCTCCTGGATGGGTCCGAGATCAGGAGCCTGAGCGGTCGCTCGGCGACGCTCGGCGACAGCTTTAGCCGCAACCCCAAGGACCGGGATGCGCTTCTAGCGGCCCGGACCAAGGACCTCCAGGGAATGAGCGGACAGCTCCGAGGTTTCGACCTGGACCAGTACCTGGGGGAGGGGACCGAAGGGACGGGGCCCGTCCCGTGGGCGGTCGGCAGCGACGCCGTCCCCGATCCCGCGGGCCGTGTGCCGGCCGCGGTGACCATAGCCGTTGCGGTTGAAGTCCCGGTTAAGGTGATGGTAGTCTTGGACTATCTTCGCTGGGAAGAGCAGGACGCGGCGCTTGGTGATATCCAGCGCGCGTTCCAGCGGAGCCTTCCGGGGCTCTCCGTTGCTGTGCGGAGCTCGTGGGGTCCCTTCGAGGACACCGCGGGTTTGGCTTCGCACTTTGACGGCGGGGCTAACAGGCTCGCCGGCACGAAGCGGATTAAGCGCTTGAGGGTGGACTTGCTCACCTCTTGCGCCAAGGTCCTTCGTGAAGCCACCGCCTTTCGGCCGCAGTTCCTTGTGGGGCTCGGCCAGGGCGGGCTGGTTGTAGCCGCCCTTAGGTGGCCTCTGGTCGTGGAGCTTACGCTCCAGGCCCGTAACCTTCAGCGAAAGGAGGCCCGGGCCGCAGGCGAAGCCTGGGCCGGGATTAAAGGCGTCTGGGCCTTGCGGCCGCGTCTGTGGCGCACCCAGAGTGGCCACTCGGAGATTGCGGAAGCGTGCCCGGAGTTGAAGAAGGACTTCCCGGAGCCGCCTCTCAGGGGTTTCGGAGTCGTCGGAAAGGTAGCCTTGGGCGCTGAAGTACTTCAGGCCCTTAGGTTGGAAGCTTCGAAAGGAATCGAAGCGTCCAGCATTAAAGGCATGCTCGAGGAGCCTTCCCGCGAGATGTGGGATCATGATGGGCTGTGCGCTTGTGGCAAGCGCACCTACCTCTTCTCAAGGTGTCCTTCCTGCATTGAGCAGGAGGCCCTTGACACTGCAGTAGAAATCGCGGAGCGTGAGGACGCGGAGGTCCGCGGGTCTCCGGACCGCGACCCTGAGTCGCCTGACGTGGGCGTGGAAGTGAACGGCGTCCTGGCGGCGCGAGAGCGCGCTGGGGGCGTGGTCGAAGTTCCTTCCTCAGCCGTCCAGATGTGGGCGGCCGGCTTCTTACAGGCGCCCAGGGACGAGGCTGTCCAGACTTTGTTTGGCAGCCTCCGAGGGAGGCTCTGGTCGGGTGGGGCTCATTGCTCCCTCAGCCGAGGCTCTTCCTCTGTTCAACGTCTTTATATCACCTGCTGGGTGGTCCGTGAGGGCGCCGTGGTCTTAGGCCACAATAGCGCGCCTGTTGACACTGTCAAGGGCAGCGTTAAACTGACGTGGTCAGTGGAGCCCAACTGGCACGGTCACCGGCACCTCGTGAACGAGGTGTGCGAACGGGTGTGGGCGTCGAGCGGCCAGGAGTTGGCACTCGACCCGAGGTTCGAGCGCCTCCTCTGCATGGTCGGGAAACCCCGCCGTGTGGAAGGGTGGTTCGACAGTGAAGGTGAGGCGTGTATCGCTCACCGCAAGTCCCTGCGTAAGCAGGGCATCTTGGCGACGTTCACCTGTTTGGAGGAAGGTCACTGGAGCCCAGCTCCCCTTCCGCGTAAAATACAGGTTGACGAGTCCAAGAAGGCCAGGGCTGTCTGCTTTGTGGGTGACCTCTACAAGGAGCCCTGTGCCGTCCTGGAGTTGCTCACTCAGGACCTGGTCCTTACGAAATGGGACCATCAGACCCCTAAGGTGAAGGTGAAGATCGACCCTAAGTCCTTCGCCTTCCCTATGGAGGTCAACGCGGACGAGCTTCGTCGCGAACAGCTGGCGGTCCAAGCTAGGGACGCTGCTGGTGTTTCGGAGTTCCGAGTCACGGGATCCATTCGCACCGCCTGGTACGAGGCGCAGCGGAGGGACCCCTCGCTCGCCGGATCGTTCCGGAAGACCGAACCGCCGATGGTATTGGCGGCCGACGGTCTGTTGGAACGTGACGTGACTCTCAGGACGGGGCAGACCGTTACGGTCCCCGTCGTGCCGAACGGCGTCGCGGGTGCGAACGGCGTTACTTGGCGCCGAGCGTGTTACAACGCGGTGCACTGCGGCGTGCTGGGGGCGCACCGGTCGTCGGACGTGACGACTAAGCTCCTGGAGCGTGCGGTCTGGTGGCCTGATATGGCCAAGGATGTCGCACAGTGGGTGTCAAAATGCCTGGCCTGTATCAAAGGCAGGTCTCGGCCCACAAAGGTGGAAGCGCGCGCAGTCAAATGCGGCGCTACCACCTGCTGGCAAGAGGTCAGCGTGGACTGCGAGGGTCCCAACAGAGAAGATAGGGAGGGTCACCGTTACTCTCTGACCTTCTTCGACTGTCTGAGCCACGCAGTCTTGCTTGAGCCGATGCGTTCGCTTACGCATTCGGAGGTGCGGCGGGCGTTTGTCCGCTGCGTTCTGCGAAGCAGGACTATGCCTACGCTCGTGCGGTCGGACCGCGGGGTGGAGTTCAAGAATGCTCTCATGGCAGAGCTAAGCTCGATGCTCGGCGCGGGGTGGCGCTTCGGCGCGCCCTTGCGGCCATGCGAGCAGGGCTCCAACGAGCGGGTGCACCAGGAGGTGCAGAAAGTCCTCGGGGCGGTCGTCCGGCAGGTGGGCTCCGTAGTCGGAGACACCTGGAGCGAGTGGCTCGTGGTGGCGGAGTACGTCATAGATAATACGCCCGGACCACACGGGTACACCCCCCGGGACTTAGAGCGGAGCTGGTCGCTCGCTCTCCCCCTGGAGAAGGATATTCTCAAGGCGGCTCTAGAGTTTGAGCCCATCTCAGACTGGGCCCGCGGGCAGTTTAAGCAGTTCTCTGAACTGTCTGCCGCGGTTAAGGCCGACTGGGACCGCAGCTCAGCTGGTGGAGGACCTGAAACAAGGTGACCGCGTTGTCTGGAACGCGCGAAGGCCCGCTCAGAGGGGGCGGGCCGGGTTCCCTGGAAGCCGGGTCTGACCGGTCCCTGGCGCGTGGCAGACGTGCGGGGACACCGGCTCACCCTGGAGCCCGTTCCGGACATACCGGGGGGTACCTTTTCAGGTGCTCGTGGCCGGATGGAGGCCCACGCCGAGGATTGTATCCTCGTGCCCCCCGACGCGGAGGCTGCGGAGCCTCGCGATCCCATCCCCTTTGAGGATGAGGACCGAGAGGGTGGGGAGGAATCCCGCCCCAGCCTCGGCCAGCAGGTCGCTGGAGAGGCCAAGCAGGTGGAGTTCACCTTGACGAGACGCGGCAGGGACTTTATCCTGCGCCTCGGAGAACGCGTCGCCTACCGTGGGGCGCGAGGAGGCCCGAAGTCTTGCAGACTTGGGCGCGTCACTCAGGTGGACCAAGCTCGTGCCCAAGTGGGCGTGCACCGTTACGTGCCTGAGCTTAGCGGTGTCCGCGTTAAGTGGGCCCTTGCTTACCTGACGGAGGACGGGTCTCTGACCGCTTCCGAAGGGAGCAGGCCAGCAGTCGAGACCGTCTCTGTAAAAGAGGTTATCACCAAGGTGGACCTTAGCAGGGACGGTGTCCTGGCGGCGGCTAGCGCCAGGAAGCTGGACAAGGCAGGGTACAGTCTGCAGGAGCGGACGGCTATCGTCGCTCCCGTGGGCAGCCCCACCTTTGCCGGGCTCGACCTTGCGGAGGCTTGCTCGCAGGTCTTGGTCGCCTCGCCTTCCGTGAGCCCCGCCTCATCGGAGCTTGCGGCGGTGCGCGCGTGGGCTTCGCGCCACTTCGAGGGTGGGTGCCTCGACTTGCTTGAGGTTTCCTGGGGCGCAGCGGTCGTTTCCGACGCAGCCCGCTCCCTCGGTTACCGTGTTGGCCCGGTGGTTCTCCACGGGCAGCCTTCTTACGGTGTGAAGTGGGACTTGAGCAGCCCTACGCACGTCGCGGCCGTGATTGGCGCGATCGATCACCTGAGGCCTCGGCTTTTGGTGTTCTCGCTCTTGGGCAGGTCCTTGCCCCAGCCTCTGCTTCAGGCGGTGGTGACCCGCGCCTTAGGGCGCGCTGAGTACCTCGCTGCTTGCTTTGCGGCAGAGGACGGGGAATACACACCATGGGGCCTGGCAGAGTGGAGAAGCTGTTTTGGGACCTTGTCCGATCCGGTTTGGCCTTGGGGCTTTGTCCGGTCGGACACCTGCCAGTTCCTTCGTCCTTTGGGCAACGGAATCCCGGTCGTTGAGAGGAACCTGTTTTGGCTCTCGGACTTCGACCTTTCGCGTTTGGGTTCTAGATGCTCGAAGCCGGACGCATTGGGGGCTGTTCCCCATGAGCATGGTAGGGGTAAGGTTCTTCTTCTTCTTCGGTTGCTGTTAGTGTCTTATGACGCACGCTCGAATTCAAAATTCATGCCGTGACAGATGGTCTCAGGGCACCTTGTAGAAAGCAACACACTTGTTGAACATCAGTCATAACCTTCCACCTTCCGCTGGTGACCCAGAGCCTCTGTGCACCAAAATTTTCGCTGGCAAGGGAAATGCAGGCATTGGCAATGTCAAGTTTGTCACTATCGCCATGTCCAACAATCCCTTCACTAGAGCTACCATGAACCTGAGCCCAACAGAGGATCTTGGAGATCCATCCTGAATCATCGGCCTGCGCCGGATCCTGCAGCAGGTGCTGCAACCACTTTTCGTCAGTGGCAGTATCTTCGCTCTCGGCATTTTCAGCATTGCTAACAGCACTGCGTGGAGCAGCATCCTCAGGACTGTATGCTGCCCAGAACGGCATAGCGCCTACAGTTTGACAAGGCGGCTGCCATGCATGTTTACTGTTGCTTGCTGTACACTCGAAATCCTGCGCAACATCTAGATCAGCATTCTCATATGCAACGGCGCACTTGTGGACAGATTGGACATGCTTCTTCAATCGCAAGTTCGTCCAAAACTCTTTTCCACACTTCAAGCAAGTAGTGCCACCGATGTAGGCCCGCAATGCCCTTATTCCATGCTGATTGGCCTTGTGCGCTGCAAGCGCTGCCTTTGTACGACAAGTTCTGCCGCACTCAACGCACGTCCAAGGTCCCACATTGCACAGCGGTGGCAGAGCAACAACGACGCAGCCCAACACCTCAAGCTCGTGAATGTCTCTTGCTTTGGCTAAGGCTTGTATGCATGCCTGCTCTTGTTGCGCCAGTCTCTGTCGCATGAAGCGCTTCAGCGCAGGCTTTGCCTGATGCACTCTGCATTGCAAGGCTCTGAGCGTTTCTGTGTTACCCCCGGGAATGCCGGGAAGTCTCCAATCACACTCAACACTATGCAAGACACAGCTCAAAGCTTCAACCGCCTTTCGCAACCACGTGCCCTCCGCAACAAGTGTATCCCAAAGGAAACCTGGCCCATGCGCAATCACCTCAATCAACATGCGCACGTGCTCACAAGCAATAACATCTTGAGGGTCAAGTACACGCATCGCTGCACACACTTCTTCATCGTTCAACAGCTTTGAGCTGCTGCCAGCAACAGCTCTACAAGAACCTCTGTAGAAATGCATAACCGCAGCCCTGAAGGCCTGCTTTTCTGCATGTGTCTTCAGCACCCAATGCCCCGCGCCGAAGCAGAACTTACGCATGACCAAAGAAAGCAGGAGGTTCTTTTTCTCAGTGGCCGTCAACTCGCCATTTCTGAAAAGCGTAGCCCGCAGTCTTTGGAAGACATGTTCACACATCTGCCTCCTGCGGGCAATGTCAGTCAAACACGCGCCGCTGTGGTCAACTCGGCCACCAAGGTGGACGTAGCTGTCAACGATGCGCACGCTCGCAACTCGACCACTTGGAAGATCAACGCTGAAACTGGGCTCTGGCTGACACAAGTAGCGCATTTTGATATCTCTGCTCTCAGGGCCCTGGAACACACATAGAGCCTCAGTCTTCCCAGGGCCGTAATTGAGTTCCACGCCTATGTCTCTGCTACAGGTGTCAGCGTGAACTATGATGCGCTCAAGGTGGGGGACAAGCTCGGTAGCAAAACACGGCGGCGTCAAGATAGCTACATCGTCAGCCCACGCCGGTGCTGGTGCTTCAGTTCCCCCTGGTTGAACAACGACAGTGAGTCCTTCAGCCCGGAGTTTTGTTTGCAGATTTTGAAGAAAGTGCGCCTGAGTTATTTGGTATAAAACATCCGCAGTTGGCGTCCCCGGAACTGAACCAGAATGCGTATGTTGGACAACGCCAGGTCGGGCACCTGTTGTGAACCACGACCCCCGCATGGTCATGCGCACATATTCAACAAGCGCTTTCGGGGCACCAGAGTTCAGGAGCAATCCTGGACCAGTCAACTCAAGCAAGAGCCATCTTCGTCCTCATGAATTGTACGCACAAGGGATAACAATCCACCAACCTCGCAGCCATCCGTACCAACAAGCCACTCCCTAAGGACAGCATAGTACGCACTGCGTCCATCAATGAACACTACCCCTGCTGACCTCGATGAGGCCTTCGCCCATTCAAGGTACGCCCGCACAACTCGTCCAGGAAGGCCAATTCCTTGACGAGGCATGGCCCCATGCTGCACAGGCGCCTGCACCTTGGCCAACACTTCCAACAACTGTTTGCGCACAGCTTTTCCAATCCCCTTGCTGGCAATTTCGGCTAAAGCAACGCTGCGCCACCCTGACAGCCGCCTCTGATCCTGAGACAACTTTGGAATTCCAACTGCAAGGGTCCCTCGCCATAACATGGGTAACTTGCCTTGCTTGTAAGATTTTAGCAAAAGCAACCATATTTGCTTGGCGGCCGGCACAGCAGCACCTTTGTAGGCTTCCGCAGGGAGCGTCGTCATGCCCGCGGCTTTGCCACATTTCATAGCCTTGAGCCCTTCTGCTATGTCGGCCATGGTGACAATTTCACTTCCAAGTACATCGTGTCGTCCTGGTTCACCGGGCAAGTTGACTAGGACATCGACAGCTGCATCCTTGCCTTTCTCAGGCTCAGCAAAGTGATGCTCAAGCAGGACTTTAGCCTTGTCAGAGTCCGCGACAAGCCCATCATCGGTTTCGAAAGCAACTGCAACACGCGGCGGCTTGTATTGCCTGCCACTTTTCAGTACCCCTCGCAAACAGCGGGCTAGAGCATCAGGGCCCTCCGACCGTGCCTCAGCAATCGTAGCACGCACGTGCATGGCAATGTCGTGTTGGCTCAGCTTGGCAAGAAGCACGCTGCATCGCCTGATTATCTGCCCGCATCTGGCCTCCGCAAGGCGTGCACGAAACCTTCTCCGCCTGCCAGCACGCGCATTTCCTCCGCCGCGACTCGTGCTCGCGAGCCCTGCCCACTGACTCAGAACGCTATGTAGCCATTCACGCTCCCTCATGATTCTGATCCTACGGCAACAACGGCGCGCATGCCTCCGAAGCCTTATACAATCCCACTGTTGCTCTGACACGTGTGGAGTGCGTGGCTTGTCACGAGGCCTCGTGAAATGCTGCTTCATGCTGTTGTACAGGTATTCATTCAAGATGTGCAAGTGCGTGTCGACATCGATATCCCAGCCAACCGCAGGGGCATTGTTGTGAATGGATCGCAAGATTTGCTTTCCTTTCTCCGTTTTCATGGCGGCGCGGTCCCACACAACTTTGTACTTACTCACGCTGGCCTCCTCTTTCCATTCCAGCGTGACCTGAAGGGGTCTGTGATCAATCCCAGTCGGATCAATGAAGTTGTGTGGTGTCCCTACAGTGCACGCTCCTCCGCTCAGAACGCGCGGAAAAGCAATGTAGTCAATTTGCGACTCCAACCCGTTCGGCGACACCCACGTGACAACTTTGCTCCCGCTGTCTGTGTGACTGCGGCAAGTGTCCAACTCCTGCGTCTCGACAAGGTTTTGAAGGCACCGAGCATTGTGTCCTTTCGCATTGCCTTCAAGAACACTGCCACTCAACCAGTGGTCATAACGAGCATTCGCATCCAGCATGTATATGGGCATCGCTTGACGAGGAAGGCACTTCACAGCGGAGTCCAGCTCGCTCCACCACCTGCTGATGCAGTCCTCGCCTGAAACTTCAGTCGGGGCATGCCCAACCACACAAGCGATGTGTTTGCAACCCGCTTTGATCGTGACAATGAGCAGCCTTGGTTGAGCAACAACAATAACAGCTGTTCCGATTTCAAGCTTCACCTTACCCCCTCCGTCAAGCATGCCGACTTCCGCATCTCGCCTCACCCACAACTGGCAACCAAGCTGCCCCCCAACGCATGGCCCACAGAAGCACTCAAAGTGTTTCAACTTCAAGCGCGGTCCAACATCACACCTTGCTTCCTGGATGCCGACGAGGTGTAACCTTCCATGCTCGAAATGCTTGTCAAGATGTTGCCGCACCACTTCAAGCTTCAAGGAGTTGGCATTGTAAGTGGCTACATCGATTCTCCAGTTGGCTGCCTTCCTGCCTTCGTCGACCTGGCTTACTGCCAGTGGTACTCCGGGCACACAGTCTCTATGCAGCTTGTGCTCCTTTGGCCTCGGCCTGTCAGGCGAATCCATGCCTACGCCTACGCCAAGCTTGAGACAACCGTCATCACTCAAACATGGGAGAACTCCTCGCCAAACGTATTCTTGCACATGCAGCCACCAGAACGACAAGCCTCCACTGCGACGTACCTGAGCAAGCACGCCTTCAACATAAGAGTTTGCAACGACATTCTTGGCAGTTGCCCTTGCAATTCCATCAACAAGTTCGTTGAAGGGATCTCCCGTGTGACTTTGGATATGTCTATATCCAAGTTTCAACCCTTTGCCCTCAGCAATGGCCGCCCAACACGAAGCTGCGCACGCAAGATCATAATTCTCTCGACCCTGCGCAATTCCTCGAGTGATGTCCGCAGCAGCTGTTGCATCGTACACTATTTCGACAAATATGTCATCAAGCGTGCATGCCCCTGCGAGAGCATGCTGCATCGCATAAAGTTCAGCTGCATGCGAATCGACGTTGTGATTTCCAAGATGGCGTTCATGCCCGGCAGGGTATACCTTGCCGTTGATGAATCCAATCCACACCCATTCCTTTTTGCATCTCCCAATGGCCGCAACAGCCCAAGCAGCACCAACAGTGCTGACGAACGACCCATCAACATAAAAACGAACCTGCTCAAGGTGCTCCTGCCGGTCCCACACACCAAGCACCGAAAGCGCCTCCCGAGTAGCAGTATGCAGGACTGGTAGCTGGGACAACCGCTGCTCCCAACGCTCAAGGGCAAAGTTCTCAAGGGCAGCAAACAAGTCATCGACTGAGGTACCATACCTGAAAGTCCGTTCACAATTTGAATCCGGAGGCACGTGCCCATTGCCTACCTCCGTCAAGCAATCAGCAAGAGATATGGTGTACTTGCCCTCATGTTGGGCCTCATCCGTTTGCATCCTCTGCGAGGGCTCGGGTGAAAAAACTTGCACATGATCACGATGCCATGCCTGCATAACTGTGCCACCGAGTTCAGAAGACACCCTAGAGCAACACTTATCTTGTGTAAGCTTGCAAGGAGTGTCAGGGGAGCAATCATACAAACCAGCATGCCCGAAGCATCCGCTGGCGTGTCCTCGGTCCTTCAAGGATTCAAGCAAACACTGCCCGTCGTGCGCGAATGACTGTACAAAGCTGCAAAAACGGACTTCGTTAGTAGAATGGTGTGGACTCCTCGCACTTGGCTTCTTTAGACATCCGTGCATAACCGGATGACACCCCCTGCTTGCAACCGCTAGGCATATCTCGTCAGTGTGCGGCTCGAAAGTCGCTAATGGGGTCATGCGCTGACTTGCGCACGCTGCTGACCAAACATGCCCAGAGCTACTCATGAAAGTGGCACCAGATCGCTCGGCTTGCCTATGCCAAGTACCCACGGCCTTTATCCGTGGATCCATTTCTGCCGTCATAATTCCCGCTTCTGCCGCTCTGAGGGCGAAGGCCGCATGCACGGCAATGGCCTCTGCAAAGCGCGGCTCCACAAAGTCACTCTCTCGACGTATGGAGTGTACGATGTGGGTCTCGATCGGCCTGTGTAGACTCGAGTAGCTCATACACAGGCCTAGTGAAAAGAAGGCTTCGCACCATCGCCCGAAGAGACGCTTTCCACCTCGTCTGAGCGTGCATTCCGCCTTGGCGTTCTGGAACCTTCGCGGCGACCCTCCTTCGCGGCGTCCGCGCGCACGCATTTTAACATCTCTACCAAAGCTGCTTCCTTCTGATTCACTCGGCCACTTTCCGCTACAAAAGCATCCGCTTCTGCTTCTGCTGCTTCCGTGACGTCCATGTCCGCGGGGAGCTCCCTGCCGGCGATCGACAAGAATGTAGCCCTGGCTTGCTCGATCGTGTCCTGCAATGCAGTTTCTTCCGCGTTCATGTTTTTCACTGCTTCTTCCTTCTCCGCAAACTGCGTTTGCAATGTGTCCGCAAGTTGCGACACGTACTCCTCCCAACCTTGGAGATATTCGGAGCGGAGGTTACGGACTTTAACCTCCAGGGTGCGGCGTTTTGCGCATCCCTCCCAGACCGGCGGCGGTGACACTTCGCCGGAGGCGGCCCGCAGCCTTCCCGCGGCTGCGAGCCCCGCGCCGGCGCCTTCGAGCGCGGCCCCGGCTCCGGAGATGCCTCTTCCGGACGTGAAGTCGGGAGAAGAGCTCTCCGCCGCAGAGCGCGCTAAACTCGACAAGGAGGTCGAGGACGTCGCGGCTCGCATGGAGGCCTTTTGGAAGGCCAAGGCTGATGCTCGGGACTGGGATTCCGTCCGGGCAGACCTCGAGGTGTACGGCCTCGCAGGCGAGAAGGTGACCTCGGACCCCCGTAGGACCGAGGAGTACCGGGACCTTGTCTGGTCCGGACTCAAGATAGAGCCCGGGCCGACCAGGCCGGGTTTGACGGAGGCGGACGTGGCGGCTATTAAGGAGGTCGTGCGCCGCAAGGCCGCGGGTTTCTGGGCGGAAGGCACCACTCGGACTACGGTTCGGAAGTTCGCCCATGACTGCATCCCGACAGGCCCGCCGGTTTCCTCTCAGTCGCATGCCCTCAAAGGGGAAGCGGCCCAGTGGGTGGACGACAGGCTGGAAGAAGAGGTCCAGCGTGGCCAACTGGTCCGCGGGCCCTCGGCCTGGGGTTCGGCGCCGTTTCCGACCAAGGAGATGCCGAACCACAAGCGGGCGCGCAAGCGCCGCTTGGTCGTCGATTACCGGCGCGTGAACGCTCGAGTCAAGCGTTCGTATACTGCAGGCGGAGTACAGACGTACTCGCCGCGGCGGTCGGAAGCGTGTGGTACACGTTTGCCGACGCCGTTAGCGGGTTCAATCAGATCCGCAACACGAAGCGGGCGCGGGAAGTGCTCGCTATCGTGGCCAGATCGGGGAAGTACCTCCCCGTGGGACTGACGTTCGGGCCCGTGAACGGGCCGGACGACTTTAACTTCGTCGTGGACCGGGCTTATGCGCCGGGCCGGGGGCGTCGCCTTCGGTACACGAAGGAGTGGATAGCGTATGTGGACGATTTGACGGTCCGCACCGGTCGCGTGGTGGATGGGAAGTTCTACACGGACCGTGACGCCGATCAGGCGATACGCGAGGCTTGCGCTAAGGGGGCTCACGCGGCTCCCCAGAGCGCGGAGTCGGCCATGGAAGCCCTTAAGTGGCTTCAAGGCCAATCCGAAAAGGGGCCCCGCGCGCGGCTGAGTCCGCGGCGGTGCCCGCTTCAGCGGAAGACAAGCGCGCGCATCATGACGCGGCGCGCGCGGACACCAACCATCCCACCCGGGCTTTTCCCGGCGGGTTCCCGCGGGAGGGCACCGAATCCGGAGGGTTTCGGGGTTGCGGGTTTAGGGGTTGGGTCGGGAAGGTCGCGCGGGGGCTGTTCGCGGTGTTCGTGTTGGACGCGCGGGGCAGTTCCCACTGGACGCCTTCCGTTTTGCGGCTCGTTTCGTCGTTTTCGTTCGGGTCGTTAGAGAGTGCGTGCAGCAGCAGTGTGTTGTGTAGTTCTGGTAGGTCTGGAAGGTCGCAGCAGGTTCTGAGGCTTAAGCAGGAGAGTAAGGTAACTCTGCTAGTGCCAGTGCCCTGCGCCCCCAGAACCCCCCAGAGCTTCCTCTGCCGCCGCAGCGCTTTGTCTCAACGCTTGTAGAAGACGCTTGCCCCTTCCTTTTCCGCCAAATGGGCGGCTTCACTCAGTGGGCTAAAGGTGGAGGAAAGGGCGGCGGCGACCGCCAGGGTCGCGCCCCACAGCGAGGTGGTTACGGTCAAGGTGACCGCGGCCATGGTGGCGCGGGCTCTCGCGCGGGCTCCTCTCGGAGGTCCACTATAGCGCGGGAACCGGCGGTGGTACCGGAGGTACTGGCTCTGCGGCGGCCCCGCGGAGTGGCGCCCAGGCCAGCCAAGGCGGTCGCGGGGGCGACAATGCATCGCGCCGCGGTCGCAGAGGTGAGTCGGCCGCCGTGGAGCTCGAGCGGAAAGTCGTGAGGGCCCTTCGCCACGGGACCTTCGGCTTTTCCGGCCGCTTCGAGCTGGGCGGCTACCTCGCGAAGAGCGACTTGTGCAGTGCTCTTCGTTTCTCGCTCCAGGAGCTGTCAGATGCTCTGGACGAAGACGCCCGCGGTCGCAAGACGCGGATAGATCAGTCGCGGTGGGGGTTCCTGCGCGCTTACCAAGGTCATAGCTCCGATTGCGGGCATGACCTTGAGTACATGAGCCCGGCGCTCACTGGGGCGCAGATCGACGAGCTCGTGTCTCAGGCAGGTCAGTACGCCTACCACGGCACTGACTGCCATCTCGCGGAGCAGATATGCTCGCGAGGGTTGCTTCCAGGAGGCGGCCCGGGAGGGCGCCTCGCGTGCCATTTCGTCCTGGGCGACATGCCCTCGCAATGGTCGGAGCAACGAGGATTCAGGAAGGGATCCAATGCGGTCGTGCAGGTTCACCTGCAGACCTTGCGCCGTGATGGCGTGGCCCTCTGCAAAGGTGCTGGGGGCACGCTCTTGACCGGACCGGTCCCCCCCACCAGTATCTATAGGGTCCTGGCGGCGGACCGCGCCTGGATACCCTGGCGGAAATCCGCAGGGAAAGGGGCGGCGTAGAGTTGGTCGTTGTTAAGGACCTCTACGCAGAGGCTGAGGCCGCGGTTGAGGAAGAAGAGCGTCGTGCCCGCCAGGCGGACGCTCCCGTCGCCGGCGGCGGTCAGCCGGGGTCCAGCAGGGACCCGGCCAGTGCTCCTGTGGCCCCAGCGGCCAGGGAGAAGGCCGAAGACGTGTCGAGCTCCTCGAGCGAGCTTCCGGACACTCGCGCCCCTCGGTTGCGGCCCCTGCGAGGCGCGTCGAGGAGTCCAAGCCGGAGGCCTCCGAGGAGGAGAGTCGCACTAGCTCTGCGGCTCGCGACGAGCGCGGAGCTAGCGCCGAGGTGGAGGATCCCTCGCAGGGCTGGCGCCGAGCTCGAGAAGGCCGAAGAGCTTCTCGCGAAGGCCAAGAATCCCTGTTCAAAGCAACTGACCTTCCGTTCGTTGGTATCTAACCTTCTGACCTTTTCGTTTTGGGAGCCTTAAGGGGCTTTGAAAGCAGGATTTAAAGTGAGCATTGAAGACCATGAACAGTGAACAGTGGACAGCAACAGCAGCAAAAGCCGGAGCAGCAACAGCAGGAACAGATTGCAAGTTGGACTGGGGTGGGGCAGGGCAGGCTCATCAACGATGTCATGAATATATTGTTGCCAGAGGGAATATACACGACACTGTCCACCGTCCATTGTTCTACGTCTACCACTACTACTACTACTACTACTACTACTACTACTACTACTACTACTACTACTCCTACTACTACTACTGCTGCTACTACTGCTACCGCTACTACTACTACTACTACTACTACTACTACTACTACTCCTGTGCACAGGGAAGACCCCACCCAAGATGCAGCTATACTCAGTTGCAATCAAAACAATGGCGCTTTTTTTTGCTCTCAGTTCTGCTCTGCCAGCTTCTTCTTCACGGGGCGGAAGAGAACAACGTTGCCTGCGTGCAATCCACACAGCTTGCAAACCAGTAGTTGTGGTAGTATTGGTAGTAGTGTAGTAGTCAGTGGCAAAACAGCATCCGGCCACAGTCCAGTAGTTCATTGGTGCCAAAGCCATCGAGAGCCCGACCTGGCTCGCAACATTTCATGGGAACACATTGTTGAAAGCATCACTCAGGCACAGACTGTGATGCATCATGCTGGTTCGTCCTTTTCTCTTCAGGTCCTGCAAGCACCAGGGCTGATCAACACAATTGAGAAAAAACAGCACGAGTCCTTCTCATCTTTCGCCGGCTGAACACGGCGAATCCAACGTGGCGTTTGTGTGCTCACCGTTCGAGTTGAACATGCATCAACATCATCTGTAGCCTCCACGTCCACATGACAAAAAGGCGAGTCTTCTTCTGATTCTGGCGGCTCTCGCGATTCTGCTTCTTGCTCTTTGGCATTTTCAGCCTTGTTCTTCGTCCATTGTGCCCATCCCGACTTACCAGATCTGCCACTCCGATTGCTGGCGGGTTTTTTGGCAGTATTCTTCTTCTTTCTATTGACCTTCCGGCCCATTCTCCACAAACAGTGGACAATGGACAGTGGACAATGGACAGTGGACAATGGACTAGTGTTGTCGTTGTCCGTTCCGCAATGCTGCTGCCCAACAATATCAGTGGACAGTGAGTGGACACTGCACGTTGGATGAACTAGTGCTGTCCGTTCTGCAATGCTACTGCCCTGAATTTGCAGACTCTGCACAACATTGTTCATGATTATGAAGAACATGATGCTGATGCCACATTCTCTCTCTAAAGCTCGAGCACAGGACACTGCATGCTCCAGAAACTTGTCATATGTTCTGTCCAGAGGCCCCAAATGCAAACATTAACAGAAAAGCAACTGCTTTATGTAAAAGTAGAACATGTAGTAATGTAGTAATACTACAACATCAGTGTGCACACACATGACAGCCTGCATGCGCACACAGCACTGCGCGCGCACTGCGCGCGCACTGCGCGCGCGACTGCTGCTGCTGGCAACAGTGGACAGTGGACAGAGTCTGAGCTCGTTGAGGTAGGACCCCAGCACCTGCAGGCCAACACTGTCACTCGCAGTGGTTCACAGAATCCCTCAGTTTCACCCTCCGCAAGCCCCGAATCCCTCCCCCACAATTAAAAAGGTCGCGAATTAACCGACCCCTCCATCGGTTAATTCGCCTTTCCCCACCTATTTGCCCTCACCCACACCCACTGTACTGTTCACTGTGCACTGTCCACTGTGGTATGATGGCGAAATAGCAGGCTTGCCCAGGTCATTTTTCTCAGACGCAAAGAGCATGTTGAAAACCCCGGCTCTTGCGGCAAGTTGCTGGTGCCAACTGTTAATTTCCTGCCGTCTGGCAAAACTGGAAACTTGCCAGTCTCATGGATGCTTTGTCACCGTCACTCGTCTCAGTGGACAGGTGACAGTGAACAATGGACAGTGTTGTAGTAGGGCAATTATACGGCGTGTGATCCATGGGTAGTAGGGCAATTACGGCGTGTGATCCATGGACATCGCACACAAGCGGTTCAACCGCTGCACGAGCAGTGATACTGCTCAGAAAAACATGAGTCCAGGCGGCAGCGCTCATAGCCATCAAGGTACTGCTCGAAATAGACCATCCCGCACCACACACATATTTCCGTCATCTGCATCAGTTTCACTGATATGCGAACTTCTCCCAGCTCTTCATCAAGCAGCACACTCAATTCCTTCGCCAAGTCTTCAGCAGAAGCGGTCTCAGTCTCGCCCTCGGCGGAAACGGACATGAGCTCCAGGTTCTCGAGCTCCCTTTGAACATCCTCGACCTCGGAGTCGCTCTCCGATGCCGGCGAGAGGATTTCAGTAGGGGCTTCGTCCATGGCGGCGACGACAGTCGACAATGGACAGTGGACGTCCATGGCAGTGTCGACAGTCGACAATGGACAGTGGACTCAGTTCTGGAGCCAAAATTTACAGCGACAGCCTCCGTGGCAGCCAACAACAAAAGTTCATGTGCAGTTCTGGCAGTGCAGCTACTAATTACTACTATTGTCTGTGCTAACAAGCATCATCATGGCAATTCACAATACAAACAAGCAATCAATAGCAGGAGCAGCAGCAGCAGCACCAGCAGCAGCACCCCCTTCAAGGACCTGCACACGCAGGTGCTGAGCACTGTTTTAACCCACCGCAAACCTTCGGCTCATGCCTCTAATTTGTCAGGAGCAGCTTCCAGCGAGCAAATCTCAAATCTCACAAGCAGCGCTTCCAGCTGCTGCACGGAATTTGGAAACTTTGCTTCCTCTGCCTCTTGCTAACAGGGGCCGAACTGGCAGGTGCACGTGGCCGCTTCCACTGTGCCCCAGCTGCCTTCTGCCTCTTGGCATCAGGATCGGAACTGGAAGTTGAACTTGGCCGCTTCCACACTGACTTCGTGCTGGTGTGCTTCTGCACAGGGACAGGCGACAGTGGGACAGTGGACTCTTGGCAGCATGGCATGAGCCTGTGCTGCTCGAACCAGTTGTGCACAATCCAATTTCCCAGCTTCCGGGGGTAGGACTGGCTCTCCTTCAGAAGCTTCCGATCGCCAGGCCTTCCTCCATGCTCATCTTCCTTGACCATGGATTTATGAATCCCGTCACGGCATGTGCAGTTCTGCTGCAAACTCTTCACCCATGTCTCACCAACAAACTTGTAGCGTTTCAGGAACCTCTCGCCTTCGGGAGCATCCACCTGGAACTGGCACCTGGCACAGGTGGCGGAACAATGGTGGAAAACGCTGAGGACCTTGGCGAGGGGCTTGTACCTGAACATGATGCTGCCCGCTGGCTGTTCAATGACAGGGTGGACCCCACGCAACATTGCGAGGGCATACACAAAAGCTGCAATGCTGGCCATGCGATTGCCTTCCTTCACAGGCGGGTACGCAGTGTTACCTGCTGGGCGGTTGACAGTACGTTGGCATTTCACAGAGTTCATCAACACAAAGCTGCTGCAGACGGGCGCCATCCACAGCAGGCCACCTTCGTCGATCTGCAAGACCGCCTTCAACGCATTCTCAAAGCCACGTTTGGTCAAGATGTTCTCTGTGTCATCCGACGCGTCATCATCGGTCACTCCCTGGATCCGGTCCTTGTCCATGGCGAGCTGTCGATAGCCAGCCTTCTCGGCAGCCATTGCAACGGACGCCACGCCGCACCACAGCTCCACAACAGCCAGTGGACGAGCGACAGTGGACAGTGAAGACCGAAGAGCCATACCCAAAGTGATGCCGAACACTTGCATGTTGACCAAAGCGGTGGGGACTGCCATGGCAAGGCTTGCAGCACTAAATGCAGGCTGGAAGAACCCCAAGACTGCGAAACTCATGAGGGTGGCTGAAGACAAAAGCACTTGATAGCTGGCTAACACTTTCACTCACAGGCACCTGAGAAAGAGATCATTTTAGCGCAGCTTGACACACCCCTCAAGCCTGCAGCCGCACTGGCAATGATCATGAGCACTGCCAGGACTGACTGCAATAACCAGGACAGTGCACAGTGGACAGCTGACAGTGACACCAACGGCAGGCATCACACATCACGCTGCACAAGGCACGCAAACCCCATAAAAATGATAAACACTCAGTCCATGATGCTTTTGCAAAAAGACTGTGAAGCTTGAGTGAAACGCTCCATGGCTGAGCCCTCGACGTCCCCCATGGCCTTCTGCATGTGTCGCCAGTAGGACTCCTGGGACAAAGTCACCTTCTTCTTGCCTTTCTTTGTGCCCTGCTCGGAAAGAGCCTTCCGGATGCGATGGTAGTCCGCTTTCATCTCGTTGTAGATCTCGATCTTCGCTACGCTAATCGGGGGACGACGTCCTGCGAACGTGTCTTTGCTGCCTCTTGGTGCCCTCTTCTGGGAGTCAGGGCCATGCTTCTTCTCAGGAGCTGTGTGTGCACCTTTAGGCTTCATAGCGTTGCGAATGTTCAGTGCATGCGAAGTCGTCGGTTTTGGCGACTCCTGTGTGTGGCGGGGCGGGCTGCTGCCACCTGACTCAGAAAACTCTGCCGGCTGGCTGCTCCCTCCGCCAGTGCCCACTGGAGATGCCATCTGCACGAGCTTCTCCGCCTTCACCTCGGCATCTGCCGCCTTGCAAGCCTCGTCGACTGCAAGATCTTCCTCCATGTCGTGGAAAGCGTTCAAGAAGGAAGCCATGGCGACAGACGACAGGGAACAGTGGACAAGGGGCACTTGCTTGACACTCAAGCTCAAAAGAGGGTTGGCAACGTGCAGCAGCAGCAGAAAGCGACACAAAAATCACCCACGACAAACTCACATGCAACAAGGCTGGAAGAGTTTTCCGTGCTGCGAAACAAAACTCGCTGGTCAGATGTGAGACAGACGACAGTGCACAGTGGACAGTGCACTTGCTTCACGTGCTTGGCTCACACAGCAAGAAGCATTTGCCCTTCAGAATGCGCTTTGGCTTGACCAGCATCCA